TCACTTCTTTTGAGCCTTCTTCTCTTCTTTTTGCCATTATAATCAGCACACACACACACACACACACATATATATATATATATATATATATGTATGTATGTATATGAGTATACATCTCTTGTTGCCCGCCACTGAATAAATCGATTTGTCCCAGAAGAAATCCAACGTCTGACAGCACGCCTATTAAAAATTATTATGACCTTGAAGGATGAAAGTTAATTACTACTGGTCGTAGATGATAATCTTTATTGCAACATCGTATTTAATAGTCCGCAAACACAAATATTGATTGGAAACGTGTGAGGAAGTTCATATCACATGGATACTGACTCCGTTTGGGTTCACGTTGCAGAGCAGGTTTCTGATTGTTAGCTTATACAACACACATGATAATCAAATGCTTCTATATATATATATATATATATATATATATATATATATATATATATATAAATATTTATTTAAAAATATGATTCACAAATCGCTACATAAGAGGTTTCATGTTTCAAAACAAGAGCCGAAAACTTCAATATAATCCTTTAAATTAAATTGAGTTGAAAGTAAAATGGGCTCCGTTCCATCTTCAAGCGAAATTTTTGTTGGAATAACGTATATCTGAAATTTACTTGTTTTAAAATTGAAATCAAAATCCCCATGGTAATAGCTAGGGTGAATTGTCTAAATTGGGTAGGCGAGTGTAGGGTGTTTATAATAAGTAGCGGTATAGAGATACTTTCAAGGTGTCAAGTCGGGGAAAGATGGGGATGTCAAAAATGAAACGGAAGATGTATTTGCCATCGTTTAGTTTGCTTGTCTATGGAGATTTATTTATTTATTTTATTTTATTTTATTATGAAAGGGAATTGTGCATATAAAAAAAGAAAAAACTTTCGTAACGTTTGTTTTTTGACGACTTCATAAAGGGTTATCTTATATGTAAGGTATTTAAACTACTAATTTAGGCTATGGATTATGAAGTGTGTTATGTTTGTATGCATGTTTGTAGTTAATTATTCCTACTATGAATCTGATGATTGGGCTATTTGTTAAACAAGTTATATAAAAATTTTTTTTTCTAATAATTCAAACCAAAAATCTGATGATGCCTACAAAAAAACCGTTAACTCGTGTCTATTATTTATTATTATTTAGAAGTTTAATAATCTAAAATTTTTCAGACAATCTAACAGTGATCTTATCCCAAATCAATCCTTCCACTTATTGTTAATTTTCCATGTGGCCTCCTTTTTAAATCACTAGTAATCTAATCTTAAATGTTACTTAAGATTATCGCATAAACTTTCATAACTGAATCAATAAGCTGTCAGATCATTCATACGTCGAAGCCGACAGGAGAGTCCATTATATATATATATATATATATATATATATATATATTAACTTTTAATTTCTGAAAAACATCCGAATTTTTTTTTTGCCAATAATCAAATCAATCTCGAGGGAAAAAAATTCGTTAAAAAAATAAAGAGCTAGAAACATGAAAGTCTGTCGAAAAAAAAAATCGACAGATGCAGGTTTGAAGCCCAAAGAAAAAAAACCTTGACACGAGTAAACAACTAACTAACAAAAGAGCTAACAACCGTAGAGCAGACCTTTTGAAACCTAGTGAGCCTTTAAACCTACCAAATCTCGTCGTCAAAAAAGTTCTTTCCCTGACGACCCCGCTTAGGTGAAAATTTTATTTTATGTCTGGCTCCATAGAATATTATATATATATATATATATATATATATATATATATATATATACACTACTAGTCAAATGATAATTGGTAAATCTCAAAAATTTAATTTCTCATCCTAAATGTGTTATTTTTAAATAGACAAGCAATACAATGGTTTTATAATACAAGTCTTCTCCAGTAACTTTGAACATAGTATAACCAGACATCTTTTGAAAAAGTGATTTGAAAGCGTTTTTCTTCTTTAGTATTGAGCATGAATAAAACGTTTTCCAAAAGTTAGATTATACCACTACTTGAACTCACATTACACTATATGGTGTTGAATTACTACTTGCTAGATACTACCTGTTTTACCTATGCTGCCAATGTACCTAGCCCAGTTGTGAAATCTGTCATTCTTATTTTCTTTAAATTAAAACCTAAATTTTGCAACTTTCTTCCGGATGAAAACTTTTTTTCTCAACAAAATGCCCAAAACGCGTGAACTTATACTTGAACGAAGACAAGAGATCATTACTTTAAAAAAAGAATGATATTCAAGCAGAGAAATTAGAAAAAAATTCCCAGAACTACAGTGGGTTATACTGTTAGGAGACATCAGGAAACTGGACAAAACAAAACCAAAAGTAGGGCTGGTAGACCAAACACAACAAAAAGAGGAGAGGACAATTTCATCAGAGTCTCCAGCTTGTGAAACAGAATGCTGACTGCCCCAAACATCAATGCACAACTTTTTTTCTTTTTTTTTTTATCTAAGCATTACGCCCCGAGCAAGGCGTGAAGCCACTAGGATGCAGGGGGTTGCAGAAGATTTGGAGCAAGAGCAGATAGGAGTGATAGAAGAAAGGATGAGGAGAGGGATAGTGGGTAGATCAAGGTAACTGGAGATGTCGATTGACATTACATTTGAATAGTTGGACATTATAGCTCTCAGGGAAACAGTAATTGGGAAGGGTGTTCCACAAGCGAGAGGTGCGAGGTATGAAGCTCTTGGACTAGAAGAGACGGCTACATTTAAAAGTTTCTACAGTGTAAGGGTGGGAGCGGGATGCCAGCCTCGTAGGGCGCTTGAATTCATGGAATCTGGGAACCAGTGAAAGCAGCTCATCGGAGCAATTACCATGAAAGTATTCGTAGAAAAGACAGAGAGAGGCGACGGCGCGTCTGTGAGAGAGTGACTGTAGACGAGACGCCAGATCAGGGCCAATTATATTACATATCCGTCTCTGGATTTTGTCAAGAACTCCGAGGTAAACATAAGGTGCACCAGATCATATATGACAGCAATACTCCATGCAAGGGCGAATGGTTGATTTCTATATTTGAAGTATCGATTCCGGGGAGAAAAATTTCCAGGCGCGGCACAGAGAGCCGACATTCCTCGCGGTGGAAGAAGCAATTGACTCAATGTATTTGTTCCATCTCAGGTCAGCAGTCAACGTGAGTCCGAGCAGACGCAGGGAGTTGCTCTCAAGAAGTTGACTATCAGACATTCTAATGGGGGGCAGGGAAGGATCTCTATGGTGTTTAATAGAGAGTAGTTTAGTTTTTAAGGCGTTAAAGTTGACCAGCCAATTCTTGCCCCAATTAACAACCAGTGAACCAATCTCGTGAAAAAAAATGTTTCAACATCCACTATGAGGAGAAGACTCTGTGAAGCTGGCCTATATGACATAATTGCTGTCAAGAAACAACTGTTGAAGAATTAAAACACTGTCAAAAGGCTCCAGTTGGCCAAGGCGTACAATGGCAGGGCAATAGAGCGGTGGAATAAAATCCTTTGATTCGAAACATTTGGGTCAAATAGGAAGGTCTACGTGCGGCAAAGTTTTGGTGAAAGAGCTTCAACCCCCCCCCCTGAAAACACAATTAATTGTAAAGAGGTATGTAGAAGGCTCTGTTATGATGGGGGGATGCTTTTGCCAATTGCAAAGGTGAAAGGCAAATTGAATGAGACTGGCTATCACAGCATGCTGAAGCATCACGTGATCCCATCTGGAACGCGGCTTGTGGGTCAAGGATTTGGACTCATGCAAGATAATGACCCGAAGTAAACCCTTTCTCCCCATACACTCCCTCTCTCTGTCTCTCCCTTCTCCTCTCTATCTCCCCCTCACTTTCCTCTCTATCTACCCATCCTCACTCACTCGATATTTATTACTCCCTTTTCTCTTCTCTCCTCTTTCTTCATCCCCCTTTCTCTCCAGTCATCGCTTTTTTGTTTAAATTGTATTTACATTATGGCCTTTCAATGGCTGTGCATATCTTTCACACTTGAGAATTGTCATGACTTTTTGCGGAAACTTTGTCTTGTAGTGGATTCAGGTTGTCTTCTTGTTTCTGAATTCATTGAGACCTCCCAAACTTCAAGGTGTAGGCGATCATGTCTCTCCACAGCTTCTTTTTCTTTATTATCTGGGAATTGTTATGCCTTCTTGGGAAAGAGAGTAAAGTGGTTTTCGCTGGACTGTTTTGAATGAAGATTTTTCCTTCTTTTAGATTGGCGGCCACCCAAAGCCAGATTGCCTAATCTACACTGCTATTAATCCATAACTGTGTCAGGAGAAAAAATACAAAATCCCGAATGGTATTTGTACGAAACAACGCAAGAGGATAGGCTAGAATTTGAACTCGGAACGTCTTTCTGAGCCAATACGCGTTAGTCTTCACGCACATACCTTGCTCCTTTATAATTCCTTTGTCTTTGTCGTTCTTCTCAGTCATCCACTTTTCCTGCCTTCAGTACTTCCTGGATGTTTTAAATTCTCCAAGTTTTTTCAACTCATTAAGTGTCCTAAATATTTTCATCTGTCTCTTTCTGATGGTCAGCAACAATTACCTCGTATTTGCACTTCTTAAATATTCTCCGTTTTTTTTTTTTTTTTTTTTATATATAAACTGTCCACGATACTGTTTATAACTTTGACAATTGGTCTGAGCCTCTGAGTAATGTTGGGTAATTGTCTGTCCTTGGTATTCTCAAGAGCCGTCGGTAGATTTACATTTTAGTCGCCCACAATTCTTTTCCTCTTTCGTGAGGAAATTGTCCAGAATTCATTGCGATATAAGAGATTAGACATTAAATATCAATCTAGCACTATTTTCTTGGTTTCTTGGGAGGGACACTTTGCAATCTTTTGATGCCTTGACCAGGTTTTGAAAATAATATCTTGTTATTCCTTTGCGACTTGACACTTTGCTGCCATTTTATCGACCACAAGTTTGAACAATAACGTATGGAAAAGTGGTTTTTGAAAGAAAGAAAGAAAGAAAGAAAAAAGCAAAAAATTAGACTTCAAAGAGAGAGGAAACCAAATGTATATAAAAAGTTGTAGAGAGAAAATAAATAGTTAGAAAGAAAGAAAAAAGTTGACATAAGAAAGAGAGTGAGAGAGAGGAAAAATGACAAATCATATAAAAAAGTAATAATGTAAACTACGATAGATAGAGAGATAGATAGATAGACATAAGATGTAAAAGTATATAAAATAAAGAATGAAAAAGACAATAGATTATGAAAGAAAGATATATACAAAAACGAAAAGAAAAACTATATAAAATAAAAAAAGAAAGAAAGAATGCATTATGAAAGAAAGAGATAACATGCGATAGAAAGATAGACAAAAAAATTGAAAAAAAGTATACGAGAGAAAGAAAGAAAGTGAAAAAGGAAAGAATTAGACATAAAAGAGAGAGAGAGGAAAAAGAAAGATGAAGCCAACTGTATATAAATAATAGCAGAGAGAAAATAAATGGATGTAAAAGAAAGAAAGAAAGTGACAAAAGAGAGAGAGAGAGAGATGATGATGATGATGAATGACAAATCATATAAAAGATAGAAAGAAAGAATGTAAAATATGAAAGATAGATAGATTGAAAGATAGATAGATATAAAATGAAAAAGTATATAAAATAAATAATGAAAGAAATAGTGAAAGAGAGAATCGAATATGAAAGAAAGATATACATAAAGGCAAAAAGAGAAATTATTTAAAGGAACAACAGAAATAAAATAATGGATTATGAAAGAAAGCGATAAAGACGATAGAAAGATAGACAGAAAAATAAAAAAGTATATGAAAGAAAGAAAGAAAAAAAGAAAGAAAGAAAGAAAGAAAAAAAGAAAGAAAGAAAGAAAGAAAGAAAAAAGAAAGAAAGAAAGAAAGAAAGAAAAGAAGACAAAAAAGAAAGAATTAGACATAAAAGAAAAGGAAAAGAAAGATGAAGCCAATTGTATATAAAGAAAAAAATGAATAGATATAAAAAAGAAAGAAAGAAAGAAAGAAAAAAGAAAGAAAGAAAAATCAAAGAAAGAAAGAAAGAAAGAAAGAAAGAAAAAAAGATTTGAATTAGACATAAAAGAAAAAATTTTTAAAAGATGAAGCCAATTGTATATAAAGAAAAAAATGAATAGATATAAAAAAAGAAAGAAAGAAAGAAAGTAGTTGACATAAAAGAGAGGGAGATGAAAAATGACAAATCATATAAAAGATAGAATGAAAGAATGTAAATATGATAGATAGATAGATAGATAGATAGAAAATGAAAAAGTATATAAAATAAATAATGAATGAGGGAATCGAATATGAAAGAAAGATATATACAAAGGCAAAAAGAAAAAATATATAAAAGAACAACGGAAAGAAATAACGGATTACGAAAAAAGAGATAAAATACGATAGAAAGATAGATAGAAAAATGAAAAAGTGTATGAAAGAAAGAAAGAAAGAAAAATAAAGAACGAAAAGAAAGAAAAAGAAAGAAAAAAGAAAGAAAGATAGACTTCTCTTAGCAAAATTCAACTATCATTTACAGATAAATAATCTGTCATCGGAATTACATACTGTCGTTAATAATCATAATCATAAGAGTTTGTGTTTCTGTCTTCTTGAAGCAACTATCTTGTCTGTAACATTCCATGGTTTCCATACTGAACAGTGAATAAACAAAAGACATTTGTTTAGAACATGGCATTTTCTTAAAAAAAAAAAAAAAACAAAACAACGAATAAAAATATCGGACAACTATAAATCTATGTTGCAAATTGTTAGTTAATGAAAATAATTTATTCATTCAAGAAAATAAATGAAGTTCCTTGAAGTGTCAGCCGATGCTAATATGTTTCCTTAACTCGGACAAACGAAACCAAAAAAGAGCCATGCAATGAAAGAATAACCATTGGCAATTGTTTTAAAAAGATTAACTGACCCATGATACCTTGAGAAGAATTTATTGAAAAACAGAGAAAAAACATAATTGCACCAAAACATTTTAATTATTCCATAGAAAATAAAGCGACAAAATTAGAGGCTGCTAACTAAAACCGCGTAACACCACATTCCTTTGATTAACAGCGGTTATGCGACGTGTCATGATGACTAGGAGGTGCCTGTGACGTTGCAAACCCGGAAGTGTTTCAAGAAATATAGTGATATCTGTAATATGTCACACACATACTCAATAGGCTTACGGCCATATCATGATGGAACAGCGGTTCCCGTACGATCACCGAAGTGATGTAACGTCGAGCCAGTTCAGTATCTAGATGGGCGACTGCTTGCGAATACTAGCTGCTGTAAGCTTGGATATGCAGATGGTGTAAAGGATAACGGATCGGAATTGGGATTCGAAAAGCCAAGTTCCACTTACAGATGGATTCTTTATATTCCCTTACAGGCAAATACGCTTGGGATCAAGCTAAACAAAATCATTATTATCCCAGGCCAACAAAAGAAATCCCATTATTATTTTATTATAAAACGCAGATTGTGTGTGTCTGTATGCTTATATATTGGATCGGATTTCCTACATTTTTCAACCGATTTCAACAAAACTTCACAGGAATACGTAAAATTACTTTTAAATTGTTCTGACAGCGCAAAAATTTAGAAAAACACAATTAAAAAAAATTTTCTTTAATCAATTTGAAAACACGATTAAGAGGTATTAATGAAAACAAGGACAACTCATATCGTGTTATACTTATTAATATCAAGTTATCGAGTTATACTTATTATAAAAACCAAGGTTGTTTGTTTGTATGTGTGTGTGTGTGTGTGTTTTGTTTATATATGGGATCGGATTTCCTACATTTTCAAAAATTTCAATTTTTCACTTTTTTTTTCGCATAGTAGTGTTTCTTATTGTCTTGAACATTTTTTTCTTTATTTTACATTCAGAATGCTTAAAATTCCATTTAAAGACAATTGTTTTATAATAAAAATTCTATTCAATCGGTAGACTCATAACGATTGAAAACAATGTTTTTTTTTTGAGTTTAGGTTTGACCAATTCGTAAAAAAAAAATAAATAAATAAATAAAATAAAACTAATTAAGACATGCGTGTCCGTCAACCTTAAACAATAATCTTTGTCAATTTTATTTTTCAGTCTTTATGATGGTCGATACTTGATCTCTCTCTTACTGTTACATCCCCGGGCAACGCCGGGCTCTACTGCTAGTTGTTATTAAGCCGTAAAAAATATACAAATCAATCAGTCAATCATTCTCAATCGACGAATGTTAAGAGGTAATGGAATATTTGGGAGTCAACCAATTGCTCCAAAAAAAAAGTTTTTTCGGACCCTGGACATTTCCCAGTCACAATGATTGTTTTTAATCTCAAAGAAGTTCCACGTTATTCAGACTTCAGATCTGAATTGGACCGATACGTCAGTCTACGTTAGTGAACATGCTGGAAAAGTGGTCTACCTCTTGTAGCATTCTAGAATGTACGTAACTCCTTCTGCCATGAATCATCTACATTCTCAAGGGACATTAGATTTTCCAAATTGAAAATTGAAAATTTCGTATTGGGTTCAGAAAGCAATTTCTTTTATTGATGTATTGAAAGGAAAGTTTTCCGAGACAAATGGCATCAGTTTAATCTGATTTTATCTTTTTTATCATTTTACCCCATGCAAGGTATTAACGCAACTAATACACAAGGCGTTGCTGAGTAAAATAGAAAAAGAGAAACATTATTAAATGAAAATTATTGATTTATTAAAATGAAAATAACACCGATATATCATTTTAATAGATCAGTCTGTTATGTGCCATGCATGAGCCAAGTCTATAGAACCCGGTCTGTTCTGTTTTTTACTCATAGCTGGGAGGAAGAAGAAGAGAATTCAGACTTTTCCCAAGGGAATTAGTATGTAATGGATTTGGCTGGAATTCGAACTTGGCTCTCCAATTCCTCAATTCGAGCTGCTATCCATTATTCCACTGAGCCTCCTTTAACAGGTATATTTACCAAAATTACACAAAACTATCTTGAAATGCGAAAGAGTAAATTTATTCAATAAAATCCCCGTTGGCTTCAACCACGGCCCAGAAACGACTTCAGGATCTCCTGAAACTCTTATGACCGGTCTTCTTGTTGGTGAATGCTGCTATAATCCTTGCTTTCAGTTTATCTTTGGTATTACAAAGAGCTTTGTTGGTCTCTGTACCTCATACATAATAATCAAGGGGGTTGTAATCTGGGGAGTTAGGTGGCCAGGTTTGTGATGTGGTCGCAGAAATAGTCTGACAGCCATGACTGGGTTCTCCTGCTTGTGTGGCATGATGCAGAGTCTTGTTGCTAGAGATAAGATCTCCCAGCAACCAGGCTCTTAACCCAGGGCATCTATAAATCCAATTGAAAAGGCTTCCTTATTGAGTCTGAGGCCCTTCACCAAATAATTCAAAAAAGTTCTATTTTCTTATCATCTTAAAAAAAAAAAGTAATTTTGTAATAATCAGAATTACACTATTCAATTCTGTCCGAATCCTCTGCACTGTCCTCAGAATAACACCCAAACATTCTGAAATGCCAAGCAGTGCAGCATTCCAAATTTCTAGAGTAGTGATTTGCATTATGATGCTCTTTTTCTCAAAGGCGGTTTCCAACTGTTCCTACAATACTGTGATCTCGACAAAATCAAAAACAACGTCCAGGTTTTTAAAAAATAAAATTACCCAACACCCTATATCTTAATTATAAATGAAAATTTTTATTTGAAAAATGAGCAATTTTAAATTTTAAAATTTCTATTTTTGAAAAATGAAAGTGCTACAAACACTCATAAGTGGATGCTTATGGCTTCACTTGATGTTAGGAGATAGGTCAGGTGATCTAATGACAATCTTTGAGAGAAAAAAAAAACTACCCTCAGTGACAAGCCCAGTAGTGCCAGGGCCACTGCAGCTGTGAATATTATGAGGTCTAGTTTCTTACAGTTGCTGGATCTGACACTAAAGTTAAGTTCTCTCTTCTCAAAAGGATTGACATTAAATCAGCCGACCTTTCTCCTTCCATCAACTACAGCATTTCCATAGGCATTCACTAATCGCTTATGAGTGGTTGCAACTCTTTCATCTTCCAAAAACAGAAATTCTACGATATATTTTGCTTCTGCTGTGTACGGGGAAAAAGACAGCCATTTTGAAAGAGAATTAAACTCCTTCCATTTGGAAGGAGTTTAATTCTCTTCCAAAATGAAAGCCTTTAAGTGAACCCGAGCAATTATTGTGATTTAATGCTGTCTGTTTGGCGATTTGGAATCATTTTGGTATTCACGTTGATGTGCCATGTTATCTTATTATCTATTAAATCTATTGTAATTAAAGAAAAACAGGCATTGCTTTTTGTCTAATCTTCGTATTACGATTATAAGAACGTCGACTATGTGGATAAGCAGATTTAGTATCCAGAGACCGTTGTAATCATTTTGCTAGACTTTGCTTCTTCTATTGCACATATTGTAATAAAAAATTAGAACGGTCGTTAGTTTCAAACCGGATCTCGTATCAAATTGGAATGGGAAAGAGACTGCATTAGTTATTAGATTCTGTATCCTGAGAATTGTAAGTTATTTTGGTATATTTTCTGTGATTTTATTATAATCATTCTGTTGTAATTGCAGAAGAAAAATCATTACATTTTTTACCGAGCCTCAAAAGTTATATATTAAAGAAATGTAATATAAATGTCTTCTTTAAGCTTCCTCTGGCGTAAAATAACGATAAATAAAAAAATAACTATTCCCAGTTGACTATTCTTTAGCAAACTTATACTTTCGTGCTCGAAAGAAATGGAGTGGCTAAAGGACGATGAGTGTTTTAACTTCCTTCACTCCTCGGAGATGTTTATTGTTTTAAAAAGCGATGATTAGTATCGTAATTGAACTTAAAATATTTGAAAAAAATATATTCATTTTCATCAGGTCATCCCATAAGTTCTGTCCGAATTTTAACTTTTGTTAAAATGAACGAAATTTAAAGAGTATTTTATAATGTCTAATGGAGCTGAACATTATTTTTATGTTTCGATGCATTTAAACTGATAAAATTTTATTTCAGAGAACAATAAAATTAAATTTTAAAACCCTGCTAACATGGAAGTACCCAAGAATCATTTGAGGCAAATAATGCTTTATGAGTTCAGCAGCCTAAGCGGCTAGAAATATTCACCCAGTTTATGGAGAGGAATGTGTGAACGAAAGAACTTGCAGAAGATGGTTTGCAAAATTCAGAGGTGGAGATTTCACCCTTGAAGATGAAGATCGAACCGGACATCCAGTTGAGTTTGATGAAAAGCTTCTTGAAGCAGCCCCTGAAGAAAATCCTGCTTTATCAGTTGAGGAATTGGCAGTGGTTCTCAGTTCAAACCATACAACTGTTCATCGTCATCTTCAACAACTTGGAAAAGTTCCTAAACTTGGAAAATGGGTGCCTCATGAATTGTCTGAAAACAACCTCAAATCCTGAGTTGACATCTGCTCTTCTCTCCATTCTCGCCAACTTGTTTCACCTTTTTTGGATAGACTTGTGACTGGCGACGAAAAAAATGGATCTTTTATCGAAATGTTAAGCGTCGTAGACAGTGGCTTGGTAAAGGGAAGGACCCCAGCCACAGCCGAGAAGGGAACTTCATGGGCAAAAGGTTCTTCTTTCAATCTGGTGGGATCGCCAAGAATAATCCACTTTGAATTCTTACCACCTAATGCAACAATTAATGCTCAAATATACTGTCAGCAATTAGAGCATTTGAACCAAGCTTTGAGGAAAAAAAAGACCTGCTCTAGTGAATGAAAAAGAGGTGATGTTTCATCAGGACAATGCGCGACCCCACACAGCAAGAATCACGTCACAAAAGATCGAAGAACTTGGTTGGGAGAAAATTCCTCATCCACCTTATTCTCCCGATCTTGCTCCTTCAGACTACCATTTGTTTCGTAGCTTACAGAATCATTTGGAAGAAACAGCTTTTTGTAACACAGGAAGAGGTTAAAACTGACATTTGTGAGTTCTTCGAATCAAAGCCAAAAGAATTTTACAGTAATGGAATTAGTAAGCTTGTTAATAGATGGAAGGAAGTCATAGATAATCAGGGAAAATACATTGTTGATTGAATCTGTAATTAAATGTAACATTTGGTCACTTGTTTTCTTTATTCAAAATTCGGACAGAACTTATGGGATGACCTGATATATATATATATATATATATATATATTGTATAATATATATATATATAAATATATAATTTTATTATATAAATATGTAAAAAAATATATATATATAAATATTTA